TCCCTGGGACCCACATGGTGGAGGGAGAGAATCAACGCCCAGAAATTGTTCTCTGACCTCCACACATGTGCAATGTCGACAACCCCCAATCCCATAAGTAAATGTTTAGCAATTCCATTGTTTGCAATGATCACTTTGTAGTGTGTCTATTTTATGATTTGAAAGGAAAATACAGTGGGATGTTTTTGAATATAGTCACATTAGTAAGACTAATAGGTATCATTTTTCTTTGGGAGGCACAACATGGAGTTCTGACTTTTTTGTTCATAGAAAGTAAATATAACCTTGTAAGTTAATTGACAATAAGGAAACGAAGTGCTTTTTAGAGATATGCATTATCTTGCAAATAACTAAGGAAATGCTCTCTTGTCCTCTACTCAAGAACACAAAAGCTGACGTTTGGTTGTATGTATTTATGAGCTTTAGTCACTTTCCGTAACTCCGCAGTGAGGGATGGAATTTTGGATTTTCCTGTAGCATCTGACTGCAGAGTGGGCAGCCTAGCTCCCCAAATTCTATCATGCACATCAGCTGACCCAGGAAGGTCACAAATGTGTGTATGAGACCATAGAGGTAGGGGAAGTCAGCTTAATGGAAAGCAGTGATGTAGCAAACCAGGCAATCTTAGCCCATACTCCTGACGCTGGGCTGGGAATTTGCTTCCTAAGCTAACCAGGGCACAAATAGATCTAAAGGGGAAATTTTAATATTTCAGGTACGGCAGATAGAAATTGTTCAGTAGAGAAAAATGACACTAATGGTGAAGGACTCTTAGAAGCCAGAGACAAAGCAAGTGCTCCTTAGCCCATACTGGAGAACAAGGGCAATCAAACACCAGTGTGGGAAGGGGGAGGAGGGGGCAAGTGGGCCAGCTCCAGACAGAACTGGAGCCCAGGTGGGGGACAATGGAGTCCTAATCAGCAACCCTGCGGTAAGGTCTGGGAGTGCTGATGTCCCATGGAGACACATTCACAGCCATGTTGAGCAGGATGCTGAGTGCTGTAGGGGCTACTCTGAGACCCCAAACCCCGGAGGGCAGCACTGGGTGGTGAGGCTGAGCTGTGCCTACTACTTCACCTTGATTACCTTGGGGTAAGGGAATCCCCAGGAAGGACCTCAGATGGTACCCAGCTCTATTCCTATTTATGGATAGACCCCAAGGTTCAGGGGGACATGATTGTGTCCAGGTGGAGTGTCAGAGCCAGTGGCACCCAGTTCTCTCATAATCTTACTGCTCAAGTCACACTTGGTGTACATTGAGCTGTATGCAGCTTTCTAATCCCTTCTTGCCATGTGATCTCTTTTAGTTAATTTACAACTCTGGGCTGCAGCCCGAATTACAGCTATTTGTTTCCCTTTCCTGGTTGCAAGCTAAAGAAAACCAGGCGTCATTAATTCAGCACTGTTCTCCAAACAACGTGTTAACAAGCTTTTAGATGGTGCTTCAGCCACTGGGCTTCTCTGAGAAGGTCAAAAGGTCTCTGGTCCATATGCTCCAGATTCTTGTACATTTTCATTTCAAATGCTAAGGTTGACAGATCTGCTAAGAGCAAATGGGGTGTTAGTTAATATCTAATTACTGCTAACATGAGTCACAGTCCATTTAATGGAGGCAGATGCAAGTCTTTGCTTCCAGACACATTTAGGACAGTAACTTAGTTTCTCTTTGCCTCTTGGCTGTGCCTCTTACCTTTGTAGTAAGTAGTCCCACAATTCAGTGTGATTACGTCTTCTTTCTGGTCTAGCTTAGTCTAACATCCTTCATTTTTATTCCCTAATATGCTAATGGACTCTAGGACATCAGTGATGTAAAAATGAAACAAGGACATTTAAATTTTTTTTTTATGTGTATACATATATTGCCTGCATGTAGGTAAGTGCACCCATGTCGTGCAATGCCCTTGGAGGACAGAAGAGGCCGTTGGATCCCCTGGAACTGGAGTTACAGACAGTTGTTAGCTGCCATGGGGGTGCTGGGATTCGAACCTGGGTCTTCTGCAAGAACAGCCAATGTTCTTAACTGCTGAGCCATCTCTCCAGCCCCAACATTACAGGGAGGGCTTCATTTTCCTAGCACTACTGTTGTAGTTTGAGTGACAGTGGACCTGGGCTGGTTTCTGGTTCTCCTGAGCTTGGTTGGGGAAGGCAGAAGAATCTGCAGGCAGGAGCTACTCTTCTGACCTGGTGCCCAAACTGTAAGAAAATCACAGGAACAAACACCTGTTTCCTCACTTTGAAATATTGTGAGTCATGACGGTTTGTCTCTCTCCACACATGCAGTATGCAGGAGACTGGAAAAGTCAGGACATCACCTATACTAACAGATCCTTCGTCTCCTTCACTCTAGGACAGAGCAGTACAGGAGTGAAGCCCATGAGAAAGTGCTGACAACAGGTTTGTCAAAGGCCCTCTGCGAGCAATTCTAGGGGAGAAAGAATTTTCTTTTTCCTTCTATGGGGGGGGGGGGCGTGCAGAAGGCCCTGTTCTGTCACTTTTTACTTTATTCCCTTGAGACAGGGTCTCAAACTGAATCTGGCAGCCCCAGAGATTCCTGTCTCTGCACCCCCATAGTCCCGGGTTTCCAGGCCTGCAACTACTCTGGGCTTCCTACATAGGTTCTGGGATCTGAACTTAGTTAGGTCCTCATTCTTATGCAGCAAACACACTTACCCAATGAGCCATCTCTCCAGCCCAAAAAAGTCCAATTTCAAAGGTAAGATTTGGGTATATTCCTATGTTCAGGATTAGAAATACAGGAGAAGCTGGTTTATTAAGAGCATTTGGCTCCAAGACACAGTAGCTAAGTCATCTTAGTTCATAACTGCTCAGTGAGAGATTCACCTAAAGGTAGCAAATGTCCAGGACTGCCCTACGAATATGCAAAAGATAAAGGCTGAGGCTAGAATTCAGCCACATCACAGAACTAAGGACCGGTGCCTGCAAGTCCTTCCATAGGTGTGGGAAAGAGTCAAGAGGTACAGCTAAATTCTAGAATTCCTTACAAAGGGGACAGCATGTGTGAAAACCAGCACTGCATCAAGATAATTTTCATTTAAAAAATTAGAGAAAGAACAAAGAATTAGAAGAATTTTAATAAAATCAACAAGTTTACATTTGTACATCTTATGTACTGGGGACTGAATCAGAGGCAAAGGAGGAAGTTGTGGGGACAGAGGTTTTTACGGAAGGAAGAGCAAGCAGAAAGCAGGGGCTGCCCCAGTTGTGTAACACGCATCACACGACAGGATGATCTGACAACCACCTCCTCTCCGTGCTCCTAGAGTGACAGGCACAGCTGGCCAAGCCTCTCAGCCCTGCACACAGACCCAGTGTGCACAGCCTAGGTGACACATCTACATTAACCCTGGTGGGCAACAGCAGATAAACAGTTCCCAAATTAAACAGTCCTGCCCACTGAATCTTACAGGGGCCAGTTTAGCCCATGCTGCTGTAACTAGAGTGATTACACGGAGCCTAAGGAGAGGAAAAAGGCCCGAGTGCCAGCTTTGATTACTCTATCTGATGCAGTTACAAAACAGCAGGCCTGTGAGACAGAATCATATATTTGTCTTAAAAATAGAATTTGAGAAAAGGCCTTGGGAGAGCGTGAGGAAAGTTAGGGAAGATGGGTTGTAACATATGAAGGTGATTCTACACCTTGTAGAATTCTGCTTGTGTTAAAGGATTCAATAGAGTTAGAAAACTGTTCAACTTTAATTCTCAGTCTTTGAAGGATGACAGACATTTCAAAATATTGATCAATATTCAGAGAAGAGAAAGACTTGCGTCCTCTGGTTAGGATGGCACAGTCACAAGCCATTCTCCAAGACTGCACCATTGTGCAGGGAAAAGTGCTTTAAAAGTGCAACTCTGCATACATGGCAAGTTGTTCTTTGAGGAACACAACCAACTCCCAGATGCCCCATGTATACAGCATACAGCAGAGCTACAAGATTTTACCATTTATTCTGTACACACTTAACACACATAGTAGAAAAGGTGCCAGTCCCTGGACAGTGCATGGCTGTCTTTGCTTCTCAGCTTGCCCAAAATCCCCAAAGGAAAAAAAAAAAAAAAACACACTAATTACTGTAAGTTCAGAAAACATTTTGTAAAGAATGGACATCAGTGGGTCTGATGGAGGGCGGGCAGGGCTGATGGGCAGGCGGAGCTGATGGAAGTAAGGTCTGGCTGATGAAGGGAGGGTGATTCTGGGGCCATCCAGTCAGTCAAGAAGCTGAGGCCTGTTCGCCAAGGATCACTGTAGGGGTGTGTGTCTCTCCTGTGAGGTTCTCACAGAACCATCATCCTGGTGAGGATGGACTGATCCAAAAGAGGGCAGTGAAGTGGCAAGATCTGTAGCTTGTCTGACATATTACAGAAACACAAAGTCCCAGCTGGTCATGGATAAGACCATTGCTCTAAGGGTTCAGGAATGCTCAGAGCAGGAATAGAAAGTGCTGGAGATAAGGCGGCCTGGCCAGACCTCCTCTTACGGTTGTGCAGAAGCACCTGTCAGGAGGGACAGCGGCAGAGGTAGCTCTGCCTGCTGCTTGTTTGCTGCAGGGCTGAGACTAATGCTGGCCCTTCCTGGACCACTTGCTCAGTTAGCTCCTCACATTTCCCTTTAATTTCCTGAATATTCCCAAGTATTCAGTAGGAAGTACATTTTAATGAGCAAAAAATGTGTAATGAATATGACAAATGAAATTCTAAATGTGAGAAAAACTTCAAAGATGATATGAATACAAACAAAACTATTTAGTTGTCCATGTCCATTGGAGGGTTTCCGATTAGCAGATGGGTGGACAGGAACAGCCCCCAGCCTCACCAGCCCAGGTCATCCTTCCTGTTGCAGTCTTCAGGATGGGCAAAGTAGATTCCCACATAGAGCTCTTTTTTCCTTCTTCTCTTCTTTCTAAAAAATATTTGTGTATGTGTATGAGCATGTATGTATGTGTGTGTGTGTGTGTGTGTGTGTGTGTGTGTGTGTGTAGCAGATGGGTGGACAGGAACAGCCCCCAGCCTCACCAGCCCAGGTCATCCTTCCTGTTGCAGTCTTCAGGATGGGCAAAGTAGATTCCCACATAGAGCTCTTTTTTCCTTCTTCTCTTCTTTCTAAAAAATATTTGTGTATGTGTATGAGCATGTATGTATGTGTGTGTGTGTGTGTGTGTGTGTGTGTGTGTGTGTGTGAGAGGACAACTTGTGGGAGTTGTTTCTTTCCTTCTACATGTGGATCCCAGAGACTGAACTCAGGTCATCAGGTTTAGTGGCAAGTGAACCATCTTGCTGGCCCCCTGCTTCAAGCTTTAAGTTTCTAAGTGGATCTCCATCTACTAGGCAGCCCAGGACTTTACCCCAAAGTAAGTGCTTAGGTAAACAGGTAGAAGGTTTCAGAGGTTGACAGCTGGATGGGAAGAAGGAACAAAAACTGTCTGCTTTAGGGACAAACGGTGAACCTGTGTGGATGACGAACGCACCTCCTCAGAGCTCTGCACCCTGGACACTTGCTTGAGCCAGATGGGTCCCATCTCCAGACCCATGGAGCAGCACCTGTCCAGTGTACACAGTCTGAAGGTGGGGTAGGTAGAGTTCCCACCTGTGTCTGGGTTGTTCAGACAACATCCTTTCCAAGTTGGTTTGTGCTTTAGATGACAGTTAACTGGACAGGTAGATTCCTGTCTCTACTGTCCTTGGAATCTTCAGACCTTTTCCATTTACATTCACACAAAGAGCAGTCAGCTGTGAGATGCCCTTGTTTCTAGGGATGGCACCTCCTTAGCATCCAGATGCCTCCCCTTTGTCCTGGCTGGCACAAAGCAGGCTTGGAAAAGAATTCCAAATCCCCTTAGCACCCTGGAGCTGTGCTTTTCAAGTCCGGGTGCCAGGGCTGGGTGAGCTGGGTGTCACGTGTCTGCTGGAGGCACAGTGGGTATGTACAAGCCCTCCGTTTGGGTATCTGACAAACACAGGTTCACCGAAAGGGTTCTGGCAGAGCTGGCAAAGCTTCTTTTCTGAGAGATGAACTGAGCTTCCCTTCAGCTTTATCTGCAAACAGAGGCAAGAGTGAGAAACTTCGAGGGCCTGTGGTGGCTACTTTCTGCTCTTTCACAGGGAGCACCTCCTGCTGTGGGCTATGAGCACTGACAGGATTGCTTTCATAGTAACTGCTTGAAACAGAATGGGAGATGCAAGTAAACAGAATCATTTTTAGTGAGCAAAGAGGGGGAAGCCACAGAGTGGCTTTCCTTAAAGGTAACCAATGCTTGCCTGAAATTCCTATCCAAGACTTTCCCTTCAACATTCTCAGAGCACTGACTGTTTTTACAGAGGCATGGATGCCAGAGCCCAGTGGGATGGAGTGGGACCAACAGACTGCATACATTATCTTACTCCCTGGCCTTCTCATTTGCAAATACAAACAGGGCACAAGTCAGGGACTTGGTTAAAGTCACTCAGTTAATTAATGCCACATTCCTGACTAGCCCAGGGAAATACAATTTCATTTCATAGGAGGTCGTTAATGAAATGGAGCCTATCCCCATCAGCCCCAGTCCAATAAGCAAGACTTGAATTTTGTAAGTGAAGGTCTTTCTGCACAACCTCCCCTCCAGTCAGGGGAGTCAGTCTGGCCAGACTGAGCTCAGGGGATGTTCCTGTGCTCACTAGTACCCTCCTCGTACAACTCCATCAGTGTGCCAGGGCTGGGTCCATGGAGACTGGAAGAAACAAGGCTCCTGCCCCCAAAGTCCAACAGCGAAGAGCAGGAACTGTCGTCAATGCAGGAACCGAGTACCCGTGTGGGCAGAAGACAAAGGGATTCCTTTGCTGAAAGCCATGAGATGGATTAAAACAGGCAGGCTGACTCCTGACCAGGTGCTCACCAGGCATACAGGAAAAGGTGACGATACTTCAGACAGTGGGGCCAGCACTGCTAAGCATAGGAGGTAGGGAAAGCTACATCTGCAAGGATCCAGGCAGCTAAGGCCAGGATGAGTAGAGAGGCAGCAAGGAACTGAAACAACAGGTTCTAAGAGGCGAGACTGCACCTCCCAGGCCATGGGATTTCAAGGAAGGCTTACATGTGGGAGAGGAACATGATTCCTGCTCTGCCAGGCAGTCACGTGGGGGGTATCGGGAGATGGAATACAGCTTGGGGAAGAGTGTACAGGTTTTGAACTGGCCTGGGAGGCATCTGTGGGCTCTTCAGCTTACTGGCCATGTGATAGCCATGTGCTTCAGTTCTTTCCTCTGTGCAATAGAGATGACCTAGAGCTTACTGTGTATCCTAGATTGCCCTAGGCTTCTGGCAACCTTCTTGTCTCAGCTTCCCAGTGCTGGGATCACAGTGTGAATGACCATGTTCAGTTTCTACACACACTAGATCATCACTGTCCAGACAGGGAAATAGCTTCACTGAAGCTGTACCGGCCAGCCCGGCCTCTACCCACATAGACTTTTGCGTCTCTGAGAGATCACATGATTGTAGAAAGGAAAGAAAAACTGGCAAAAATCATTTTTTCATAGGTAAAAACTTGCCTCCTGTGAAACATGGGCACTCAGAGAAGTGAGCTGATATGAAGGCCAGGCACTCACCTTATCATACATGTAGACCAGGTTTTCTGACCTGGCCAGGCCAAGAGCCACCTGTGTGGTCCTCCTAGCATGGATGCTGTCCCTCATGGCCCCTGTGAGGAACGGGCAGAGAAGTTGCACTGACCAGGTGTCAGGCAGCAGCTGTAGGACCTGGGTGGCGTCAAACTCCCTGGTGTGATGGTTCAGCAAGTCCACAGCAGCCACGGTCAGCTCATGAGCAGAGGGGCCGGCATGGAGGTACATGGCGAGCAACGTGTGGAAAAGGTGCTGGCGGCAGGGTGCACCCTGACCCTCGGATCCCCACAGGCAGTAGTCCTCAGCAGCAGAGAAGTCCCCCAGCTCGTGAACCAGGATGTGCAGGGCCTTCTCATGCTCCCCTAGCTTGCCATGGAGGATGGCGCTCTCCATGGGCAGGCCAGCTCCCTGGATCTTCTCTGTCAGACAAAACTGGTATTCAGAAACAGGCAGGGCTATCTGGCTACTGGCTACCTAGATATTGCTAAATACTGCCACCTAGGTGATCAAGGGAGATGACTCCTTTGATTTTCACCCCGTGAATCTGAGTCTTAGAAAAATAGAAGGCAGACTCTACTGACAATGTTCAGAGAATGAATCAATGGATGATCCATGGTCTCAGAAGGCCCCTGAGAATCTCTGGTGCCCTCCCTCCTGGCTGTAAGCTGCCACATCGTCACCCTTACCTCCACAGTATAGAATCTCTTGACTAAAGCACAGGGTCAACTATCCCTCTGTGGCCTTAGAGACTGGGGCCAGAACCCTCTCCTGTGGACCCCCGAATTCCCTATAGTGTTTGTATGTAACCAACACTCTATACCTCAGATCATCTCTCAATGACTTAGGATACCTAATACAATGCAAATGTGGGCTGATAGTTACACTGTGATGTTTAGAGAAGAATGACACATTGGGGAAGGGATACTTTTAACTCACAGTTGGTTGAATCTACAGAATCTGAAAATGAGATCCAAATACCACCTTCCCTAAATGGTGTGCTCAACCCCTGTATGTATTCCAATTTAAAACATACATCACTGAAAGGAATATGCACTCATGGTACATAAAAAAATCATACCTATATTATTTAACTAGTGTCTGGAACAGAAATCAAAAGTTTTCTTCGTCCCCTACAAGTACATAGGTTTCTAGGAAAACGGCACAGCCACAGGCAGTGCCAGTCTTGATCAAGTCTCTCCCTTGGTGAGCTGCATCTCGTTAGCAGGTCACTGTGCTTCCCAACCGGTCTATGAAACAGGAGGATGCACAAGATTGTTTTCTACTGCAATGGGATAGTCCCAGGACAACCCATAGTTCAGGGCCAAAGTTAATACTTAAATCATAGGCACTGGCATCTGAAGTATGGCCACAAGGGGCTGCCCTTCTGGCCCAATACCAGAGGCAAACATTACCAGTCTGACAGTAAAGGGCTGACTGTACAACCTGTGTTGAGTCCAGCACCAGGCATAGATGCTAAGACACACAATACTATCCTCCTCACAGTGAATGTCAGCAAATAATTACTAAGAGGCCACCATATTTCAGGCACAGAGATGTACAAAGACGGTTAGGGTACCTGTGGAGAGTCATACTTGTCACACCTATCAGCTCATTTACAATGAACTCTCAACCACCCTGAGTGGAACTGTTATTACAACTGTTCTATCTTGACACACTGGTGACATGGGTTTAGGTATTGAAAGCTTGATCCTCCATGTGGCCATGAGAGGTAGTGGAACCTTAATAGGTGGGGTATGGTATAAGGTAATTAGGCCATATGGGGATTATCCTTAGATGATAGTTAGGTTAGTTCTTGCAAGGGCTTCCATAAAATAGTAAGATCAGTGACCAAGATGGCTCAGATGGTAAAGGCACTTAGCATGCAAGCCTAGAAACCCGAGTTTGATCTCCAGAACCCACATAAAGGTACAAGAAGAGAAATGACATCATAAAGTTGTCCTCTGACCTCATGCATACTGTGGTATACATACCCTCACACACATCATGCAGACACATATACACATCCTTAGACACATTATGTGCACATACACACATATCCTCAAACACATCACACACACACACACACACGATTTTAAAAAAAGAATTAAGTCCAGCCCTTCTCTCCCTCTCTCCTCCTCTGTCTCTCCTGCCCTAATACCTCTACCACTTGGCTCTTATCAGAGGTCAAATCAATGGGGCCAACCAATTTTGGACTTTCAGTCTCTAAAACTGATCTAAATGCAGCTCTTGTCTTTATAAAATATTCAACCTCAGCCGGGCATGATGGCACACGACTTTAATCCCAGCACTCGGGAGGCAGAGGCAGGAGGATCTCTGTGAGCTCAAGGCCAGCCTGGTCTACACAGTGAGTTCCAGGCCAGCTGGGGCCTCAGGGAGACCCTGTCTCAAAAAGACCCCCCCCCAATTCAACCTCAGATATTTTATTGTAGCACCGAACATTGGACAGATACAGGTGCAAAATTTCTCATACACCTAATGCCTTAGGGGTCACTCCTATTTTCCCACAAGCTCCCAGTCTTGCCTGAAAATCCAGACTTATACTATATGACTATTCAAATGTACCTCCTGTAGGAGGTTCCCCAAACCCTCATAGCCCAAAGAAATAAGGTTTGTGGCTCCCTCAGTTCCCTATGGACATTCCTCAGCTCTTTTCTGCATCCCCATTAAACAACACGTCTTTGATCAGAAGCAAATCTCATCCAGCTTTACACCCTCAACACACATGTGCTCAAAAGCTGGCTGGATGAAAACATCAATCAATAGGCTATGACTCACATGAGATTTTAACAAGGGAATTAATTACCACACAAAAAATATAAGTCAGGAGTGATGGTAAAAATATTTAAGCATCTATATAGCATGCACCATATCCAATTAGGGCAGATGGGGCAAATAGTGTGGAGCTGAAGGGCAGCCCTGGGGAAGTGCTAGTACTGCTGCTCACTAAGGACCAGGTCACATTCACATGTGCCTCTGCTGTTCCTGCCTGTGTAACACAGGATGAACTGGGTAACCTCTCTAAGTTTTGGTTAACTTTCCTGGAAGGACAAGAACAACTGGACTTATTTCCAGGTTTTCTATAGAAATCACGGATTGTAATGTGCTCTCAGCATTCTGATCAATGCTTGTAACACATGTATTACATGTATTACAGGTCCTCGTTGTCATGAATTCCATATGTGTGAATGGTCAACATTTATTTGTAACCTCAAAATCAATGCACATGGTAATTTCAAGGTCATTCTTGGCCAAGTACAAAACAACAAAAAATTTTTACTGCCTTACGTACACAGTTACCTTCTTGTTTTGGTTTCTATGTCACACACAAACATCGTTTTCATGGTCTACTTAGTGCCATGCTTTGCACGGTTTTGTACTGTGTACTGGTGGTTTTACTGTAGAGTGCTGCTGCAGTGCTGACTTCTGTTCCCAAGAAGCTGTGGCATGTAAAAAATAGACGAGTTAAATAAGTTTCACTTAGCATCAGTTAGAGTGCTGATTTCCAGTTTAATGTTAATGAATCAACAATATATATTTTAAATGAGGTGTTTTTTAAAAAGCATTCACTCATAAAAAAGCTTATATGTTGATTGGTTGGTAAAAATGTGACCAGAGTTTTGTAAGGTGAACCCTGCTTTTCCCCAGTAACAGGGTCAATATTCACTAACTCAGTGTTTGGGGAGAATTTGTAGACTAAAAGTGCAGTAATAATGAGGACTGAGAGATGGCTCAGTGGTTAAAGGCACCTGCTGTTCTTGAGTTTGGTTCCCAGCAATCATGTCAGGTGGCTCACAACTGCCTGTAACTCCAGCTCCAGAGGATCCAATGCCCTCTTCTGGCCTCTGCAAACACCTGCACTCACATAGCACACACACACACACACACACACACACACACACACACACACACACACGTATAAAGAAATTTTTTAAAAAAGAGAGAGAACTGATTGAAGTGGTCAGAAATTGTTCAATGGTATTAAGGGAAAACATATTACTAACCCCAGGAAGTACAAAATCCAGAAGTACAAAATTCTACAATGTTAAGTATAGCGAGAAAATACTTATCCTACCACATAGAGAGTGCCAAGGCTACTCTATATTGTACTTTCTACAATATACAAACTATACAATTCCAGTGTCCTGAAAACCTTAATCCTCTCTAAAACACTGTACTTCCTTCCCCTGGCTTAGGGGTCAGGGTGCTCCAATCACAAGCAGTCTGAGAGATGGCTGCCAGGGGCAGTGCCAGCTGACAAAGCCTTCATTATGCAGAGCTAGCCCTCTGTATCCATTGATTCAACCAATCAGTAACTGAAAATGTGTGGAGAAGAGTACTGGGTCTATACAATTAGGCAAACTTTCCCTTGAGTGGTACAGTATAACTATTTGCACAGCATTCACACTGTATTTGGAACTCAGACATCTGGAGGCAATTTAAAAGATGAGAGGACATGTACAGGCTCTCTGTAAACTCTATATCACCTCCTACAAGGGACTTGAGCATCAAAGATTTGGGGGTCCTTGGAGGGGTCTAAGTACCATCCTCCCAGGGATACTAAGGGATGAAGGTATTGAAGACATTAGAAAGACATGAAATGTGGTGTTTTAAAGCCAAATCCAAAACCTATCCTGGCAGCTCTGAGGGAAAAGAATCACTCGATGGAATTCAAATGAACTCTACCCAAACCCCTCTCTGCCCTCAGGCCCTGGCAGAAGCTTCTCGCTGGGGATCCTGAGCTCATCCTCACCTAACAACAAGTGGACTCGGTACAAGTCAGACTTCTGGAGCAGGCTGCGGAGTTTGGTCTGTGTCTCAGTGGCTTCTGTATCCTTATGGTTGGTGGGCGCCCTCTGCTGCAGCACCTCTTCCAGGTAGAGCACAGCCAGGTGGGTGTGGTACTCTTCTTTCTGAGGAAACAGGGATCAGACATAGATAGTGTTTGCATGTGGGTTGTAGCAGACTCTCAAACACAGTGGCCAGGGAAGCCTTGTTAGACCAGAAACCTCTCAGAGACCCAACACAGAGAAGAGGGGTTGACAGTCATAGTGGTATAGTTTGGATCTTAATGTTTCCCCAAAGTCCATGTTTTAAATGCCTGATTCCCACTGTGGTGCTACTGGGAAGCAGTGAAACTTGTAAGAGATGGGGCCAGTAGGAGGTCTTTAGGTTAGTAAGAGTGACTTAATGGGGATACTGGAACATCAGCCCCTTCTTTTCCCTCCTCTTCAGGTCATCTCCCCAAAGGGTGACAGGCTGCCGCTCCAAAGTTGTTAGTGACATTACAGCCACACACCTTAGTCCAGGCTCTAAAGTGCTTACCTGCAGTTTCCTGTCAATAACAAGATGTTCCAGATATTTAACCAGGGCTTTAGGGTATTTTTTAAGGCAACTGATAATATCATCTGGGTTAAAACTAGTCTTCTGCTCGTCCAAAGGTCTCTTGGTAAAAACTTGAACTCCAATCTGCAGGAAGAGCACCAATTTAGTGATTAGACCTGTCAAAGTCATCTTTTCTTCATCTTTATTTTGGTCACTGAAATTCATGCTTTGGCTAAAATCAGCAGTTTCTCAGATGCCACTTAAATCTCAGTAAGATGGTTAAAAATCAGTCTGGCATGAAGCTCCAAGAAAGGTCTCCAAAGGGTAGAAAGCAAAGACAGAAAACAAGCCTGCATCTGGAAACTCTCCTCACACAACACTAGAATGGTTGGAAATTGAAGAATGGCGCGGTCACTGGTAACAGGCTTTGACATCTCATGCAGCAAACACTCCCACTATTATGATTATCTGCAGCAGGGGTTGTCCCTTGAGGAAATTAAGTGACAAAACTCATCATGGACTAATTTAGGTTCTGCAAAACATATTGCCTATTGAGCAGATCATCTACTGTGCTTGGCTATTCTGAGATTTGAGCCTATGATCCCTGAACGGCCTCCAGGTTACCTTCCTATGCATGCACCCTTTTTAAATGGCACTACATCCATTCTGTAGGAGTATGTACAGGTTTGTTCTGTAGGCGTGTGCGCAGAGACTAAAAAAGGGGTAGAAGGCAGGGCCAGTGAAACAGCTCAGTGGGTAAAGGTGTTTACCGAGTTCAGTCCCTGGGATACACATGGACACACATGATAGAAGGAGAGTCAACTCCTACAAGCTGACTCTGACCTCCGTATGCACACTGTGGCACAGACATGCATGCATGTGTGCACACAGTACAGGGACACACACACAAATTTTGACGGAGGACAGAAGGGTCTTTCTTCTCCCTGTCCTGTCTTGCATTGGAGACCTCATCTTGCTTCTCCAAGGGAAGCCAAGGAAAGGAAATGGGTATGTTTGTAATGGTGAGAACTGAAACATTTGATGTCTTCGTGAGACTAATATGGGGGACACAACAAACGTGTCCCTCTGTCCTGAGCATGCTATCCTGCTCTACAGCCAACAGCCAACCACTGCTTCTTCCTATTGTCCTTTCTCGGCAACAACCCAATCCCGAAAGCAACCATACAGGCCTGACTTCACTAGCAGGAAAGGAACTACAAAAGAATGTTTTTAGGACACCAGGGGCATGAGCTGGCTGGGCTGCTTGCATTTCTATGAGTGGCCTCGACAGAGAGAGGGTTTTGCAGGGGCCACAGAAGCAGAAACTGCTGGAATCCACATGGCTCAAAGGAAGGCATTAAAAACAGCACAAAGAAAACAGCAGTATTGAAATGTCGCTTTTCCTCCCACCTAAGTTAAAGGGGCTTTTGGTCTGTTTTACCGGCTGTTCCAAAGGAGCATGCATTTATGACGCACAGACCTCCTCACTTTTCTGCAACGCCCAGTCAGCATAGGTCCACACCAACTCTTGGTCTAAGCAGTAGGTAAGAAAGTCAATGATGTATTCATACAGGTCTGAGCGTGTGGAGTCCTGGATGTCCCCATTCACAATGTTCACCCACAACTGAAAAGGAATCAAAAGCAAAGCTAAGAAAACCAGAAAGTTACATATCTTATAGAATTAGCTTAGAAAACCTATGTGTTCTTACTTGGTCTCCCTTGACTTTCAAAAACACAGGCTGAGCACCCCTAATACAAAACTCTGAACTCTGAGCATGCTTCAGCAAATTGACAAAGCATTTTGAATGTCAGGTTTTTGGACTGGAGTGGCTCTACTTATCCATGCATTATTTCAAAATCTGAAAAACTCTGAAATCCACAACACTCTTGGTCCCAAGCATTTTGAACAAGAGATATTCTACCTTTAGCATGGAAAGTAGTAAATTCTTCCAACAATTTTAATTTTTTGAAAAATAAATTTAAAAATCCAAAATGTACCAAAACACAATGTTTTGCATCTTGATATACAGAAAGAGGGAAATTCCATACCATGCAACTTTGCTTCATGTACAAACCTTTTTAGCATATTAATTATTTTCACACTTTTTGTGTAAGGTATACATGAAACATAGTGGAATTTAGTTTAGTCTTGAATCTTATGTCCAGGACATCTCATTTTATACATGCAAATATTATAAATTCTAAAATGATCTATAATCCAAAATAGTGGTGGTTCCCCCGCCCCCCGCGAAATTAAAACTGATTAGGATGCTCAGCCTGTACTAGTTTTTCAATACCGAATTTCCCAAGCAAAATAAATAACTGAACCATACATACACTGAAAAGATTTTCATGGAATTTTTGCCATATATCATATTTACTCTATATTATCCCAAGTTTGCAGACCTCTCTATATAGCTGTACTTAGGTCATCACAACACACAAGCAGTAATTCTAAGGACATCACTATGTTTTAAAAAATAGACATTTTTATCTGTGAAACCCAAGTGTACTCTTGGCCTTGGGGGTACATGCTGATGGGGAGCCCGTTTCTTACTTTGTTCTGTGGTTATGCTACTATGATGGCTTAGCGAAATAACCAAAGACTAAACATATGAGTCCATTGGTTGATCTTATTTTGGTTAATATGGCTCACGTTCTGGCATTTCACACAAGAGAACACAAAAGGTTCAGGAAGGAACTAGCAGCCGATGCCATCCAAGGGGGAGGAGAGCAGTTGGAAGCAAGTCTCCTGAGGGCATGAGGAGAGGTTTCTCAAGATTCAAGACAATAAGTAATGAAACAATGCCATTCAGCTCAGGCGCAGCACCCTTGCTGGTCTCCGAATCCCAGTTCCACCACTGAGAAGGCCATGAACGTGATTGGCTTCAGGTTTGTATTGATGTTATGGGGACAGCAATTCACCCAGCTCACTGGCAATGGCTGCTTCATTAACTGTGGGGATTATAAATACAACTGCTTTCTAGGCAGTGATGTCATATCCCTGCTGGTTCAACAAGAAATCATATTTTCAAGCTGATTTCATAAAAGTGGAGAAAACCTGGCTATTAGCAGGGAGGAGGGGCAGGGGCACAGGAAGAGAGCAGGAAGTTAGCTGTGGGTTACTAAAAATGGAGTTAGAGAAACAGTTCCTACTGTCTATGGCTCATTAGAGTGAATAAAATTTACAACAATTTATTACCTATTTAAAAACAGTAAAACACAGGTAATATTTAAGGGATGGAAATGCTAATTACCTTGATCACTGTTCTACAATGAATCCCAGAAATGTACACTTACTATGTGGTAATTAATTTTTTTGAAAGAATTAAAAAATATTTTATTTATTATTTTTATTTTATGTGTATGAGTGTTATGCCTGCATGTAGGTAAGTGCACCGATGTCGTGCAGTGCCTGCGGAGGTCAGAAGAGTCTGTCAGATCCCCTCGAACTGGAGTTACAGACAGTTGTTAATTGCCATGTGGATGCTGGGATTTGAACCCAGGTCTTCTGCAAGAACAGTCAGTGTTCTTAACTGCTGAGGCATCTCTCTAGCCCCCGGTACTTAATTTTTAAAAAGAAATCAGTCTTCTTTTTAATTTCTTCAATTTCTACAAACTCAATCTTGATAATGTTTTTTAAAGAGATTTAAAAACATTACTTCTTAGCCTTTTGGTTAAGATCAAATACAGATACTTAAAGAATACACTCCACCAGCATTTCCCAAATAATTCATTTTTTAAAACAATATTGGTTTTGTTCTGTGTTGGAAAAGATTATAGATCAGAGAAGAGTGATTTCTAGCAATTGGTAATTCTTTTTTTAAAAGCAACACTAAATTAAATGTTATTATTGCCTTTAAAATATACTAAAATGACTTTAATTTTTTTTTACTATTTGTGTGTGTGCACGTGTGCGCGTGCTTGAGAGAACAAGTCTGAGGACAACTTCTGGGAGTTGGTTCTCTCCTTCAGCATGGATTCTGAGGGTCAAACGCAGAGCATCAGGCTTGTACAGCAAAAGCTTTTACCCACCGGGTCCTTTTGCACTCACCTGAACCGCAGCAGCATCTTGGTTATTGTAATGATAGAGCAGTCCAAGTGCAAAATACCTGGAAGAGACAAAGATGTCATACGTCTGCACCACGGCCTCCCGCAGGAGGGACCCACACCGAAACGTCCCTGTTTCTGCCCCCACTGGGGTTCATCAGCTAAGTTTCCTTCTCAGTTATTTCTCTAGATGCTTAGCTAATCAATTTGGTCATCAGTGACTGAAGCACACTATTTGACTACCAATTATGTGGTATCTCCCAGGGGTGACTCATAGGCTAACAACAGGAAATTTTAAAATGGCTGCATTTCCTAACAAAGTCAATGGTGAGTTCCAAATCATACTCTGCAACACTGAAGAAGGAGTCCAAGAGAGAATTCCTCCAAGATCCCATAGACAAGAAGGAAAACAAGGTCATCTGAGGAGTGCTTGGACTCTACGGTCACCATGACTTCTTGGTGCCTGGACCCTTGAGAGTCAGTTTCACAGGACCCCTCAGCCTCTGGAGGCCTCACAAAGTGCAAAAAGAACTGGGCAGGAAGGCCCGCCACGTGGGGAAGAGACCACTCACTTTTTGTACTTCTCCAGCCAGGCAGCGCTGTCCGTCAGCAGGCAGAAGTTCTCGGTGACCAGGAGGTCTAACAGGCTGTCATGGTCGGCCTCCGCATACAGCTTGAGCAGGGCGGTGTCAATGTCTTCCTTGTAGCCATTCGCTACCTCCGTGCTGCGGACTTCATTCAGGTAGCTCATGAGGAAGCGCTTGCACTTGGCCATCTTCTCCTGGTCACCTTGGGTCAGCTGGTTCAAGTCTGCGTACTCGTGAAGAGGAGGGTGAGACCGGGTGAATGAAGAGGAGGTGGGCAACAGGAAGGGGTAGAGAGAGATCAGCTCCCGGACGTCCAGCTGGCTGCTTCTGCAATTACAGTGTCAAACTAAATGAAGCAAAAAGAGAGAGAGAGTACACATAGGCGCAAAAAACAACACTGGAGGGAGTGCCTGTACATATATGTTAATGGGGGTGAGCAAGGTGAGCACGTCCAAGTGGTCATCCTAGTGCAATTGCTAGTGCGATGAAACACTACCAAGCATGATTCCAAAATGAATGGGAGACAAGGGTAAGAGACATGGACAGAAGAGTGGGGAGTGCAATGTCAACACACCTGTGCTGTGAAGAAGACCCACTGAGCTCTGGGTTTCTTCAGACCAGAGACAGCCATGACAAAGATAACACGGCATCAATCTAAGCCAAGACAAGGTCATGGCTCTATAGAAACCAGCATCTTCCTGACACTAAATTCCAAACAGACTGTTTAGTAGTCCTCAAAGAAGGGGGGACTCTGATAACACAGGGCACAAATGTTCACAGGGCCATTCCTGCTGTGGTTCTTGACAGAATTTCAAAGCAGAATGTGAGGATACAATTTTGAGCTGGTTAGCATTGCATCCTAACCGTATAAGACCCAGGAAGCCATGTTTAGTGATGTTTCCTCTTTAGTACATTGCTGGCGCTTTTTGTGTCTCCTTCCTTCCATCCTTCTGGTCCAGTCTGCAATCACAACAATTACTAGAGGCATCGTGGAACTAAAAGCTCCACCCTGGCCAATCTCAGGCCCACTAGTAGGAGAGCTTTCAAGGGAACAGAAGCAGGGGACCATCACAACCCTAGTGAAGGTAAAGGAACACAGGGCCACCACCTGCAATATTCCGTGCACCTGCCTTCAGTCACACCGTACCACCTACCCTCCACTTCCTTGGCTCTGCCTCTCACCTTCCTTCCCTCCACTCCACTCTTTTTACTCTTTCCTTACTGCTCATGGCTTGTAATACCTGGTGATAAACTCCAGTGTCTCAGTATGACATTCAGGCATTCCTACATCAGTCCCAAACTAGTTTTCTATCTTGGCTCCAACCATCTCTCCCACACCAAGCACATCAACTATACTCAGTGACCCAACCAGTATCAGTGTTAGGGGGCGTAGCCTGTGCTGTGGATAGAGCAGTGACTATCATCAGGAAGTAGAGCTCCTTCCCAGGGACCACTGGCATATCTGATGATAGTTCTGTCATGGCCTGGACGGTGCTACCATTAACATCTACTTGGTAGAATTCTGGTCTGAACACTCAAAATGAACCAGACAACCCCTACACCTAACATATTCACAATAAAGAACCAGGAGACCTAAAAATCAAGAGTGTGACAGTCGAGATACCTAGGCCTACATTAGAATTCCTGATATAGAAAACCCGATTACTGCTTAAGATCCAGGGTGAATCTGGTGAAGGAAGATTCCTCCACTGGCTAACATGAGCCCATGCAATGTTCCCTCGGCAGCACAGCATACACAGTGTGAGATGGGAGGGTCCTTTCTTCAAGCTGTATGGCCCAAAGAAGCACAGGCCCTGTCTTGCCCTTGTATCACTCATTCTAATGCAAAGACCAAGTTTGTTGAATGAAAGAAGAGCCCGATCACCACTTATAAAGGCAGGCTGAGAAATCTCCCGACAAAAAAATCATCACACACATGAACAATATGTGGGTTTTCTCATAGGCACCAAATGTGATGGGCTGGCAGTGTGACCTTTGGCACAATTCTGGGGTGGAGTCTGAGAATAAGTCCCAGTATAAAGAGAGGAACAAAAATCACACTATATAGCAACGCATGCCATGGGCACAGGAAGGGCAAGGGGGAATCACCTGTCTGGGGAGCCTCTTTTTCAAACATTAATTCCCTCAGTCACACACTTGAGCAGATGAGCAACCACTAGCCTAAAGTTAAGCTACTGAGAGACTAATAATAAATGGAGGTATAGAAACTTGTTCTAATGACAGACAGACTCAGTTCTATCCTCTTATCAAAGCAGGGACTTTTCTAAGCTTATACACCCATGGCTATTCACCTGGTGTCTCAGACTGACCCATGAGAAGATGTCCTGGGATGCACCCATGATGTGAATGTCAAGGTCTTTGATACTGGCAGGGCAAAACACAAGCTGAAGTGAACAGGAGCAAGGAATCCATTTACACTGAAAACCACCAGTCTTTCTTTCCAGGAACAGATAGTAACAACAACTGGACTGGCATTAGTGAAAGTGATGTTGGGCATCATTACTCAAGGAATGAGTCCTTTCCTCACAAACCTGTTCTCTATATCCCATTTTGTGACCAAAGAAGAGATCAGAGTTGCTGGGCACGTCAGCACCTGCCTGGGTATTATGCAGTCATCCTGGAGGAAGGGAGGAGCATGGCCCATCAGAGAGGGTCCTGTCAAGTTCCCTGAGATACACAGGTTCTGTATGGAGCTTCCCACATATACTGTTTGCTAGAAGCTCTAACTCAGAATATGCTTCAGTGAGGCATTCTGAAAGCCTATGCTGAAGGCAGTGCTCTAGTAGGATATTAAAGATTATTATCATAGCAGGTGAGGCTTCATTTCCCTCAGGGACTCTGAGGAAGTCTGTGAGTAACCACTGTCTCATAGAGCACACTGGTGAGTGCCAAAGGCAGACAGATGATCAGGGGTGGTGGCAAAGGTGTGCTTCCCACAGACACAGTGAGGAAAACTGAAAGTGAGACAGCATGAGAGCAAGTGGGCAAGAGGAGAGAGGACAGGAGAGAACGAACGCACATGAGAGCCCTCGGGGGAGCTCTACATGCACAGGACGTTGGTGGTCATGCCTTTAATCTCAGCAGTCGGGAGGCAGAGGCTGGTGCATCTCTGTGAGTTCGAGGCCAGCCTGGTCTACATAGTACAGCTGGGGCTACAGGGAAACCCTGTCTCAAAAAAAAAAAAAAAAAAAAAAAAAAAAAAAAAAAAGTCCACGATCATGAAAAGTTTTTATAGGTCTCTCCAGAAGCCCTTGCTTTCTCTGAATTCAGCTTTTAGTGAAATCTCTGGAAAGAAGGTAGTAAGAACACATGTTTCACAGAATCCTCACTTTAACAAACTCAGAACCCTACTGTCCTGGCTCAGCAGTCCCATCACCTTCACAGACTCTCTCCCTACCTGCTACCTCAGGATGTGGGGCAGTAGGCATACCAAGGGTGATGGCGGAGCCCAGGAACCACTTTGGGAGGCATGAGGTACCATGAAGACTCCCACCATTCCTACATGCATCTCCATCTGGCCGGGAACATTTCCCCTTTGAAATCATACAGAAGACAGAGGTTCCTGGAATGTGGGATGCTGAGTGGCAGTCTTGCTACCAATATGTCAAATTACCTGAAGAGCTCTTTGGCTTCCAGGAACTGAAGTTGTGCAAACTGTATAAAGCCCGCCTGCTGCAGAATCCTCCTGTACATTACCTGCAACGAAATTGGATTCATCTCTTAAGGATATCTCAAAATCATCACCAAAAGGGGTGGCTTTGTTTCTCATCCACAACCCAATTAAACTTATTAAACAGAGCTTTGAAATGATTAGTTAAATAAAAAGTAAGATATACATGACTACCTGTAGTCATCCCTTGGTACTACAGTATGAAGGGATTAGTTCCAGGACCCACAGATACCAACATCCAATGATGCTCAAGTCCCTTATATAAGACAGCATAGTATTTCCACAGAGTCCTCGCACATCCTCCTGCACACTCTAAATAAGCATTGGTTACCCCAATGCTCTCCTCAACCCGCCAGGCTTCTGTGATTCTTCTGCCTCTGGCTGCTCAGGTGGAGATCAACAATTTGGGGGGTTCTGGCTTCTACTGCATGTCCCCCTGTTTTTCTCAAAGTGATTTTGAAGGAGTATTTCTCAGAGCATACCTTAGACACAAGACTGTTAAGACTGTTCCAACTTAAAAACTACATAGGCACATGGGCCTTCTTGGCCAAAGCTGAGGAGGTACTGTGTGTATTCTCTCCCGGTGACACCCAGCTCATATTAACACAATCCAAAGTTTCTGCATGAAAGTCGCCAGCTCACCTGAGCTTGACATACCACAGCCCAACTTAAATCACCTGCAGGACCCCTCCATTCTTGAATACCCAACAGTAGTAACACTCACTTCAGGAACTTGTTTGGTGGAGTCGGTCCCATCTCCTTTCTCTCATTACCATTTCTGAGCTCTGCCGAGGTTTGTCTACAATGGCTTCTGCACACATATCGCTGCTTGTCCTCACTCACATCATTCCTATCACCATCATCCTGGCATTCTTTACCTCGGACTAAACACAGTTTTAATTGCTCCCTGACATTAATTCCTCTTCCTAATCTAGTCTATTTCATGTACCATGAAGTCCCTGAACGCAGGTACGCCTGTTACATACCTTAGCACCCCACACCACCCGCTTCTTACCTCCCCGATTTACTCAGGGCTTATTGATCTGAAAGACTACCTGGTGCATTTCCATGGAACTTTGTTTTCACTGTGACTCACTGTTCCCATTTTAAAGACAAGAGAATTCTGCTTAGAGATAAGTTTTCAGAAACTATAGTAATAAATGGTTGAGCCATGATCTAAAACCAGATCTCTTCAACGTTATTCTTTTTATTTTATTTTTTAAAGAACCATCTTGTTCTCTCAAAACAGCGTTAAAAGGGTTTTCAGGGGTATGTGTGTTTTCACAAACTGTGGGCCTCATGCAGGCTAGACGAGTGTTCTACCACTGAGCTATGCCCCTAGCTCATGGCTGTTCCAAGGAGCTCAAGAGCATAGCAACAGTTCCTCCTCTATCCTCAGTAGGATTTCTTTTAGAGACGTCAGAATTAACACACTGCTTATACTGTTCATGTACCTTTATTTTTCTTCTCTGAAAGCAATCATTTTTGACCTAACAATTAGACTAATTTTGTTTTTTTTTTGTGTGTGTGTGTGTGTGTGTTTTTAAGACAGGGTCTCCCTGTAGCCCCAGTTAACTCACTATGTAAACCAGGCTAGCCTCAAACTCACAGAGATCCACCTGCCTCTGCCTCCCGAGTGCTGGGTTAAACATATGTGCCACCACGCATGGCTATAGCTAGACTAATTTTAACAACAGGCAGAAAGCTGCAGGTCAAAGTTCTGTTGCCCAGCAATGCCAGTTCCATTTCTGAAAGTAGAAATAATATGGGCCATTCTTGTAGTGATGTGTATAAAAAGGACTCATCAGGTGTGGGATTCTCAGCCTTACCCAGGCTTGCCAATGAAATCAGTCATAGCAATGTACTCTTTGTGGCTACAGGACTCAAATATCCTGTCTGAAGGAAATCAGAACTACTGCTGCCAAGATTTCATAGCTTCATGAATAAGGACGTTAAAATGTGAACCCTAACCCCCAAATCATATGTTAACAGGCTGGGTTGTTGGGAGGCAGTTAGGATTAGATGAGGTCATGAAGGCAGGCCCCCAGGATGGTACCAGTGGCCTTCTAGTAACAGGAGATGAGACTAGAGCCAGTACACTTCCTCTTACTATGTGACGGTGCTAGGAACATGACCGTGCCATGCTCTCGGATGCCCCAGGCTCCAGAAAAACGATCTAAATAGATCTTCATTGTTTATAAATTACGAGGTTTTAGAAACTTTGTTCTAGTAACACAAAACAGACTATGACAAGGAGCTATTTTCCATGTTCTAGTCTGGGAATGATGCTCTGTAGATTTGGAGGAGGCATGCAGAGATTCCTTCATCCTGGAGATAAGCACCCAGAATGCAGAAAGTAAGGATGATGTAAACAGTAGCCCGGGGCTTGGCTAGAAACTTTACCAAGCCCTGTCAGTTCTTGGTTCTGCCAGGAGTCCGGGTGGCCCACCAAGTCTGACAGCTCCTACTCTCTACTCAGATGACCCTCAGCAGCAAAACCTGGAGCCAGGTGGGTATATGGGAAAAGGAGAGAGTGGGTGAGTGCATGGGGTAGAGCACAGGGGAGTCTGTTATCTATCAACACAGAGCTAACTCAACAACTTCTCTATACACAGCCAGGGCCCAACAGGTAGGCCAGGCTGACAACGCTGCACGTTGAAATAGACATCAAAACTCATTAATTATAACTATGACAGAAACCCAAATTGAGATTTCTAATTTTTGTAATTTGAGAAACTGGAAATTTTTGAAATAGGAGCTTCTAATATAAGGTTTCTAAGTTTGTTTATATTAAAAGCTGTATCATTTAAATACTACACAAAAACTTCTGCAGAGACCATTTCTTTGGAGCACTAAATTCAAAGTATAGCTTGTATTATGGCTCTCCTTAATGTTTACTGCCTAGTGAACTATGAAAGGAAGGGAGGGGGAGGGAAGATAAGAGGAAAGGGAAGTGGGAAGGGAAAGAAAACTTCTCCAACTAATGGAGCTGTTATTTCGTCTTAAGAAGGTATGGAATGCTGGCACATAGCACTGAACCTTGAGGACGCTATGCTGAGTGAAATAAACCAGTCACATAAGAGACAAATACTGCAGACTGCAGACATGGCTCAGCAGTTAAGGGTGCTTGCTGTTCTTGCAGAGGACTCGAGTTCATTTCCTACCCCCCACCCCATCAATGGCCTGTAACGCCACACACACGTCTTTAGACATGTGAGAATTTAAAAATTCTCAATAATTTTTTTTAAGTTAAAAAAAAAAAGGCAAATACTGCTGGGTGTGGTGGTGCACTCCTTTAATTCAGCACTCAGGAGGCAGAGGTAGGCGGATCTTTGGTGAGGCCACCAAAAAAAAAAAAAAAAGGCAAATATTATATGATTTCACTTATATGAAGGAACTCTCGTTCTTGTCTCTTCGAGCAGTCTCTGCATGTCATGGCTCTGTTGGAAGACCAGCTCAGAGCTGACTGCCCATTTGTTCACTCCTTTGAACGCACAGGGAAGAGTCTATCTAGGGACCAGTTAAGGAGCAAGCTGATAAATAATGATGAGCCAAATATCAAATGCCAGTGCAGCAGGGTCACACTTACCCAGGATGCTTGGAGCTAGAAGTGATTCAGATTATGAATCTTAGTATATTTGCACATGCATATGGAGATATTATGGGAATGTGATCCAATCTGAAATGTAAAATTTATTTGTTTCTACCACACCTTACACACATAGCCTAATGGTAAGTTTAGACATTTTTTAATGTGCCTGCCTGCACTGTGATGCAGCCCTTCACTGAGCTCAGATGTGGAATTTTCCACTTGTGGTGTCTCATTGATGCTCAAAAGCATTCTAAACTTAAGATCTGGGGCTTAACTAGAAATACTCAAACTACAAACATCATTATAGAGTAAGGAGGGAAGAGTTCTTAGCTGTGCCTGGAGGAAAGGCTTGAAGAGATGTATTGAAGATGACACTGAAGCAGTTTTATCAAGTAGAAGAGGGCACTCCAGTAACACAGATGGTATAAACAAGAAGGGAAGAGCAGAACTTTGGAGAAAATGGCTGTGCATGGCATGTTCTGGAAATGGGGAGACAAGGGCCAGCACCCAATCTGCCCTTCATCAAGGGCTGCCTTGATACTGACCTAAGCTGTCCTGTGTTTGGGTCCTACGCTTGTTAGTTTTTATCAACTTGACATAAACTAGAGTCTCCTGGGAAAAGGAAACCTCAATTGAAGAATTTTCCAGATCAGATCTGTGGCCATGTCTGTGAGCCATTTCCTTAAATTCTAGTTGAGGTGGGTGAGCCCAGCCCACTGGGGACAGTACCATCCCTGGGCAGGTGGGCCTGGTCTATAAAGAAAAAGAGCTGAGCAAACCAGGGAAAGCGAGCTAGTAAGCAGTGTTCCACCTAGTTTCTGTTTCAGTACCTGCCTCCAGATTCCTGCTTGAGCTCCTGCCCTGGCTTCTCTTGATAATGGACTCTTAACGTATAAGATGCTATTTCCTCCCCAAGTTGGTTTTGGTCAGTGCTTTGTCATAGCAACAGAAAGCAAACTAATACAGACCTTATTTGCACATCAAGGACAGTGGAAACAGTTATTACTGAATTCTTTAAAGGATAAAAGCCCAGATGTTTTCAGATGGCACAAAGAGTGCCTGACCCATTACAGGGCTCAGTATGTGCTCTCTTTGTCCCACCTTATGAGTAAAGGCTTCACAGGGCAACCTGAGGGGTAGAAGATTCAGCCAGAGAAGAGGGTGGGGCCAGCCCATAAAACACTTTAAGGGTATGGCCTTTACCTGCTTAATGATGCCCCCACTGACCTAGTAGGATGTAAGTTGGACTACAGACACCCACACAGGAGGCTGTATGCACAACTCCAGGGAAACACTGAGCAAGTAACAAGAGTTGGGTTTGTAGCAATACAAGAAAGCAGGGCTCAGATGGGAAGGATCAGAATCTTGAGACAGCAGGCTGGAGAGCAAGAGAACATGCTTTCATCAAGCACTGGCTGTGCACCTCTGCTCTTGTCAAAAAGAGTAGAGGAAAGAAAAGCAAATTGCAGGCACAGAACACTGAACACCTCCCTAAAAAAAATGTTATAGAATTAGAATATAGTGCCATGGTGCCCCTCCAACAGCCACTGTGACCCAATGGTACAGCCCCTCTGTACTCCAAACTGCCCAAGCAGCAGCAGACATTGCTCCTCTTCACAGGGGGCAGAAGCCAAGAGCAAGCAGCAGGCTGAGAGCCCGACTCTGCCCAGCCCTGCCCAGCACTCTATAGCCAAGTGAGCTAATGAAAGTGCCAGCTGGGTAGTAGGGGCTTGAGCAGGCAGTGGCTTTCTTCCTTTGCTTTTGCTGCCCCCTGCTGAATGCCAATAGATCAATGCCACTCAGGCAAGTTAGGGCCAAAGATGAAACGCCTCATGTTTACAGAAAGATATCCTCTTTCAAATCCCCAAACCATCAATGATATGTCCTCTCTTCATTCACTTTCAGAAATTACCCTTTGCTCTGTGAGGCAACTTAAGTCCAAACATATAATTTCTTGTATAGCAATCAGTCACTGGCTGACTAACAGTAATTTATAAGAACTTTTAGTGAGGCTGGAGAGACGGCTCAGAGGTTAAGAGCACTGGCTGCTCTTGCAGAGAATCCAGTTTGCACCTCCATGACAGTTAACAAACGTTCATAACTCTAGCTCCAAGGGAATCCAACACCCTCTTCTGACCTCCATGGGCAATGCATGACACAGGAGCACTTACATATATGCAGGCATAACACATGCATAAAATAAAAAAAATAAATCTTTTTTTTAAAAAGCGAACTTTTAGTGATGGATTTAGCTGTAAAAGAAAACGCACATACTTTGGTTTGCTCACGGGATTTTGTTATTCTCCTTCCTCTTTTTTAGACTAAAGATTGAAACTAAGTACTCACTTATGCTCGGTAAACTATATTCCCAGGCTTCTTTTTTCTTTGAGACAGAGTTATTACCCTAAATTATCCAGGAAAGCCTTGAACTTGAGATCATCTTGCCTCAGCCTTCCAAGCAGCTAGGATTATAGGTCTGTGCTTCCAGGCTCAGGTAGAGTGCCCTGAGTGACATCTGACCAAGTGGGAATTTTAGGGAACTTGATTGATATTGATTGGCTTTATCATACCAATTACATTTAAGGTTAATGTTTCTTATGTGCATTAAGAGTTTCTGCCTAGCCAAGTGTGACGTGTGCCTGTATCCCCAGCACTTTGGAGACAGAGGTTTTCTAATGGAATGAACCAGCTGGGTTCCTGCAATATGAACCCATAAGGATCCGTTTAGCAATGTGGTGGGCAAGGCATTGCCTATAGACAGAAACACAAATTTTTTCGGGGCTGCTCAACCTTTTGACACTGCAACATGACACTGTGGTTTATGTGTTGTCACATTCATAGCTATACTGAGATACATGTGGCACGGTCAGCAGCTAGAACACACCTGTGGCACATCTGTAAGAGCCATGTTCACGGCTCTTCTCAGAAGGTCCAGGGAAGAAGGAAGCCCATTCTATCAAGTCAGAAGTTCAAAACCTGATTTCCCCATGGTTAGCTGTGCAATCTCAGTTGAGTTGTTTGGTTGCTCTGCAACCTGCTCTCTTACCTATAAAATGTGGATATGCTGAAAAATTAGACAATAGGCACAAAAGCCCTGTGTATGGGCTCATGAAGAGTGAGGCCGATGCATGTGGTTAAACCCACATGTCTTCTAACTGGTGGCTTGCAGGCATGCTTTCTTGTGATCAGTTAATTACCAACCTGAAATTTTTCTTTTGGAATGTTCCTCCTGGCTCCTTTGGCCAAGACCAAAGCCTCTTCTACTCTCCGGCTTGCTAACAGATCCTGTATTTGTTTTTCCAGAGGTAATGGAACCAAGATGTAAACTCCTTTACTTGTGGCAACAATCACTCTTCCTGAGGAAAAAAAAATTAACATTGTTAGAAAGGGAAAAACATTGCCTTCAAGCAATACATTACTGCTTTCCCAAAACCGGATCCTTATCTGAAGTGTTAATCACCCCCTCCAGCTTTTGCAGAATTCCTATAGCAATGTTGCTATAATGCCGCCCCTTCCTTCTGCCCACACTGAAAACTGTTAGGAAGGGTAAACTCTTGATGTTGCATTTTCAAAGAATAAAAAGGTAGTCCTTAGACATGTTTTATGTGAAAATGCTTGTCAATTTAAAACCAGTATAGGAGGGGTGGGAGAGATGGCACAGTGGTTAAGAGCATTGGCTGCTGTTGCAGAAGACCCAGGTTTGGTTCCCAGAACCCAAATGGTGGCTAACAACAGTTCAGAACTCCAGTTCCAGGGGATCCGATGTCCTCTTCTGGTCTCTGCGGGCATTATATGCATGTGGTGCACTTACATACATGCAAGCAAAACATACCCATTAAAACAAATAGATAATAAATAAATAAATAAATAAGTTAACATTGGACACTTTAAGAATGTTCATAATGCCAAAACTCTCCAGATAGTCCTTCC